CTTCGGAGGCGATCGAGATTGATCCGGCAGTGGTGGCATAAAAAAATTTGATTATCGAAATTATTAAATTTTCGAATTTATGTATTGAAACATTGTTAACGTATTTTTCGTTTCCGTTATTCCAAAACATGATATTTAAATTTTGAACAATTATCCTATGTATTTTTCTTGCCGACGAAGTTCTCAATTGCAAATGTGATTTTAAAAATTAGGTTATTTCCGCAAAATTGATTGACAAAATTAGGGTAAAAGACGATGACGTGGCAATCCGGGTTAACAGAACTCGGGGCGCTACAGTAGGCGTCTTTCCATTAGTTCTAGGTTCAAGGACATTTAATATTTCTAAAAAGTAGCCACCCTATGACCTATGAATGACATGTAAGGGGTAGATCGTCTAGTTGACCTGATAGTGTGGTTGCTGTAGAGAAGTTACATCAATCAATTACAGGGGGCGCCAGCAGTGCCCCCAGCCCATATAAAAACCTTAGGAAAAGAAGAGGTAATCATAGAATTTTGGTCTAAATATTAGCATTAGCCCAACTCTTACAGCCCAATACTACCCCAGCCCATATAAAAACCTTAAGAAGAAATTGTAGATTTTTGACCAAAATGTTAGCATTAGCCCAACTTTTGTTTGAATCTCAATCCAAGTCCAATGCTCAATTATTTAAATTGTATTAAAGACACTATGATTATTTTTTTTTGAACTGCAATTCATTAAGCATCGAAGTAGCAAGTTACGGATACAAGGAGGAATTACCTCTAACACAATTCTCTCCTCAAAGAGTTTAAGTGCTTCCTATGCTAAAGCATAAGCTTTCACAAAAGCCACCCAAGACCCAAAAACAGTCAAAGAATGGAAAAACCAAACATGCCCATTTCCTACACCAACCAAAAGCCACCACCTCTAATCCGGCAGTGGGCTTGAAAGATAAATTACAGGGACCATTTCTTGGGCAGGGGACAATGACGGAAACAGGGTAATCGGATTTGGACTATCCGGATTTGGAGCAGTTTTACCTTTATGCTCAGTCTATCGTTGAAAGTGGCCAGATGATTCCCGGCGATATAATTCTGATCGGTCTTCTTGGGCCTAGGACAATACTCGCCTGAAATGAAATCACATCTGGTATCTTTCATCTTGCACGTAGCCACGCTCCATTATGTTGCTCCAAGCCTTCCCCACAGGCCGAAACTCTCCCTTCCCCAAACATATGCAACTACTGTCTGTATCAACATATAGCACCTTACCTAAACTCGAATCAAAGTCATGGCCAGCATACTGTTTCAAACCGGCAATCAAATTGGCGTATGGAACGGGCACATCCTTCACCATGACAAAACCTCCTAGGTCTCCAAGAAGACCTAGAGAGAAAACCTTACCTTTGCTTGCAAAGGAAGGAAAGGGAAGGATGATGACAAGGAAAATAAAATTGATGTACGAGCAATAAAGAAAAGAAAAAGCTAGAAGCGAAGGAAAATGAAAAAGTTGGTCGGACGAGCGGCACTAGGCCGCTCGCCGGAAGCGGAACAATCCTCCTGTTTACCTTTCTGAGCTTCTTAGGGCTTGGGAGATTTTGGGGCTTTTTCAGGGGAGATTTTGCAAAATGACCTATGAATAGTGGCTTTTTAAGATTTTTGTTAAAAAGTCAGTTTTACCCTTAATGAAATGGGTCATTTATTGCAGATCAAGTCTTCAATCCTTATAATTTTTTCGAAATTAGTTTTATTCTACACACCAAATAATATTTCGAGACAATAACATATAGATTATAATGATATATTATCGACTGCGTGTTTTGATCAAGTTTTCAGTTGTTTGGAAAGATTGGTCGTCAAAGTTACTAGAAAAGTACTCGTTAAGTAATTTTTTAAATTTTCATTGGTGGATATATATTTTTGTTTATTTCTATCATGATTCGGTCAATTTATATTTTTTAAGGCTAGCATCAATTTTCTATTTGGTAAAAAAAAAAATGCAAAGATTCAGTTGAATATCTTAATGTGAGATCTAAACTTTTATTTTTTTATTTTTAATTTCATTGAGTTCCGTATACTTTTTATCGTGAATGTCACGAGAATAGCCTCTAAAACTCGATTTCTTATAGCGTGACTTCATTCGAATTTTTTTAAATTTCAGCTCATCCTAACATCGTTGTGGCTCTGCCCCTATCCATGGACAATAGAGATGAAAATACGAAGTAATATTCCATTACACGTCAGTACGGAAGGCTTCAAGACAAAAAGTAAATTCAATTTTCAAAAAAATGGAAGGAATCAACAATGCAAAAGTACTATAGCGCCTAACCGAGGAAAAAAAACGCATCAGAGGTAATATTAAGCCCTTTGACAACCATTAAAATAAAACTTTCTTGTTTCAAATTTATTTTTCAATCATGTATTCCCATAATAAAATACTTTACACGTAAATTTAAAAAAAAAAAATTCTATTCTTTGACCACACATTATTCGAAAAACTACTATTTCAAAACTCATTTTAATAGTTGTCAAACATGGGCTAATATTTGTAATTCTTCAGCTATTATCTTTATTCAATCTAGTGGGCTTCCTTTTGATGGCTATTGTTCTGAGAAAATTGAGTTTTGAATAGTGATTTTTTGGATAATGAGTGGCAAAAAATAGGAATTTTTTTTAGGTTTAAGTGCAAAATATTTTATTGTGTAAATATGTGATTGAAAATGAGTACAATAATTAAAAAGTTTTGAAACACTGATTGTCTAACAGGGGCTAAATCATGCGGGAAAAAATACAGATTCAACAGTTGCATGGAGCAACAATAGTTTTATGAACAATAATCATCTAGTGAATAGTAAACCAGACTTGTTTCCAAGCTATTATAATCATGCCTAACTTTGTCATCATTTATGGAAAGGAAAGTTAGCTAGCTTTAATCTCAAGCGCCTTCAATTAGAAATATTTTTGGTGTATATAATATAGGTATATAGGGGTGTCCATACCCTCATTTATGGACAGGAAAGTTAGCTAGCTTTAACCTCAAACGCCTTCAATTAGAAATATTTTTGGTGTATATAATATAGGTACATAGGGGTGTCCATACCACCAGGGTATGGACACCCCTATGTACCAGGGCATGGACTCCCCTATGTACCTATATTATGTACACCAAACACATTCCCTTCAATTAATTGCATTTTCAATTTTCAAATCAACTAATTACGTGGATCTCATTTTACCAGGCGATAGGTTTTGTTGACAATAATGTAATCTAGTACTAATGTTATTTAAGAATCTTAAATTAGTACGCCTTCCGTTTCATTTGTATAGGCTAATTATTAATTTTTTCACACGAATTAGGAGAAGTTTGAGCACAATGGGGATTGCATGGGTGAATGGAGAAGTGGCTGGTTGTGTGGGAGAAGCGAGAAAGAGGACAAATGGGTACTGATTCCACCATAAAAAGTAATTGGCTGCCCATACCAAACCCCCCTAAATTGGTCCGAGTGCTAAAGTTAGGTTGGCTCCCTTAATTACTAGAGCACGTGTTACTTCTTTTTCATCATAAAATTTAGCAACATTCTCCTAGTCACCTATGATGAAAATGATGATAAATTCGGGCTCACGGTATGCTCCACTTGATAGAGGCAAACTTCATGTTCAATGAATGCAAGTACTGAAATTCGTGGAGGAAAGTCAGTCTAAGCCTATAAAAATCAAATTTTTAGCAAATTTTGATAAAAGTGGATGAAATGTGTGGTTAAAATGGTGATTTTTGGAGAACAATCTTGCTACATGTACATCTTACTTTACACCTTAGTTTACCTAATTTGCACTTGGCAAAATCTCACATCACCTTTCACATTTCACACATTTAATCCAACCATCATCCATCTGCCACATCATTCATCTGTAAACCAAGTGGTAAAGGAGGTGGTACAAATAGCTTAACTCTGTGTGGTAAAAAATGAAGAATTTTTTTCGACTTACGTGCCATATTATTTTATTAGAGAATGTGTGGTTGAAAAATGAGTTTTAAAAAAATGGGGCTCAAACAAGAGCTTAATTGATGACTTTGACTTAAATTTTTTATTAATTTTTAATCTACAACAAATAGGGGCTAAGTTTTCCAATCTGTAAGTAGAGCTCCTCAATTGAAAGTCAGATAAATTTATTAAAAGTTTTGTTCTCAGCGATACCAACTTCGTTCTATATAACTCTTGGTCATGAAACCATTCACTTCCGAGCATAATGATATCTCAACATATTTCAACAACAAAAGTTCCCATGGCAGCTTGCAATTTTATTCCACTATTTCCAAGCCCTTGTCCTAATTTTCGAACCAACATTGCAGAAATTGGAAAGATTAACTTCTTTTCTCATGTTGCATGTAAAGCTCCTTGCATGAAATGGAGCATCGACAAAAATCTTATAGCAACAACTAACCTCTCCACACAACATGCATACTTGAATGGACACAGTTTTAGAGTAATATTCGACATCACAAATTGATTGAATTTTATGTCATGCATGGTTCGTATTTATGTAGCATTCTTTAATGTTTTCTTTAGTAGATACAGTGATCATCTTTTATTTGCAGGATGAATTTGATATTGTACATAAACAGAAACTGGAGAATATTAAGCAATTACTTTTGGAATCAAAAGAAGAAGATCCAATAGAAAGTTTGAATTTAGTTAATGCCATCCAGAGGCTAGCAATCGACAACCATTTTCACGAGGAGATTGACACGATTCTTCGGGGACATTATTTCGCAACCAGCACTTGTGTGTATGGATTCTCCACTCTGCGTGACGTTTCGCTTCTTTTCAGATTATTGAGACAAGAAGGATACCACGTACCTGCAGGTAGGACTATTATTCTTATAATTTAAATAAATAAGTTTATCCCATGAGATGATTTGACATGTTATCAAAGGAGCCAGGCTTCGTAAATGCAAGTCTAGTCGTCATCCATTTATAACAATTGTCCGGTACTTGTTGGACTTCTCATAAAAAAAGAAAATAGCATACACGATACAAGACGTTTTTAAGACATATTTTAAATAAATAAACCCGTCTCCTCTTTTCAGCAATACTTTCCTTGTGATCATACAGATGTCTTTCACAACTTCAAGAGCAAGGATGGAAAGTTCAAAGGACACCTGAGACAAGATGTCCGAGGATTGATGGAATTATATGAAGCTTCACAGCTAAATTTACAAGGAGAAGATACACTTGACGAAGCAGCAAATTTTAGTAGCGAGATTCTCTCTGAACGTTTGACGGATTTAGACTCAGAAATTATTAGTCACACATTGATGTATCCTCATCACAAGAGTGTTGCAAGATTGACTGCCAATTTTTATTTTAAAAATTGTTCTGAAGGCATAAATGGATGCGAAAAACCCTTGAAAGAGCTCGCCAGTTTGGATTTTTTTATGGTCCAACGCATATACCAACAGGAATTACTTCAAATTTCCATGTAAGACTTGTCAGAATTAGTGTGTGTGCGTGCATCCTAAAATTATATAACATTCTTGTGAATTTAGGTGGTGGGAAGCACTTGGTTTGGCTAAGGAGTTGAAGCTGGCCAGGAACCAACTAACAAAATGGTATATATGGTCCATTGCTGCCATGGCTGATCCCAGCTTGTCGGAGGAAAGGATTGACCTAACAAAATCCATTGCCTTCATATACTTTGTAGATGACATCTTCGATCTTTATGGGAAACCCCATGAACTCACCCTCTTTACAGAAGCCATAAACAGGTATGAATAACCATAACACTGGTCTATTACTGTTGTCCTTTTGTAATAAGTTTTTAGAGGAATGGTGTACAATATTAACAAGATTACATCTTAACTAATTTATTCAGATGGGAACATGGTGCCATTGAAAACTTGCCAGAGTACATGAAGATATGTTGCAAGGCACTTATTGACACCACGAACGAGATTGGCTACAAAATCTACAAAAAGCACGGATATAACCCTATTGACTCCCTAAAGAAAATGGTACGAGTGATATATATTAAGACGCAGGTTTCATCTTAAAAGTTCAACTTTGTCGAGTAGACTGAACCTATGTTGGTTTAGACTTCGTTATTTAACAAATGTGAGATTTATCTTTTAACATGCTCTAATAAGATAGAAATTCTTTTATTTTTAGTTTCATCTTAAAATGTCAATCAGTTATAATGAATAACTCAAGCTCTTATATGTTCATTTATACTTCAATATTTAATCGATATGAAATTTATCCCATAACATATATATTTTCTTGAATGTCTCAAAGTATTTCCGTAAGAGTTTAATTGTTTAATTAGACGCAAAAGTGTATTATTCCATTTGGTCTCTATGTAACAATTTTTATATTCCTAATTGTCTATAGCAATATGACAATTAACAAATTTCTAACTTTGTAGTGGGCAAGTTTGTGCAATGCGTTTCTGGTAGAATCAAAATGGTTTGCTTCTCACGAGTTGCCAAAAGCCGACGAGTATCTAGAAAATGGAAAGGTGAGTTCAGGAGTGCCTGTCGTGCTAGTTCTCTCATTCTTTCTTACGAATGTCGTAGGATCAACTGGAAGTTCAGTCCATTTGGAAGATATATCAGACCTTATAGCCTCAGTTTCAACAATTTTACGTATTTGGGATGACTTGGGAAGTGCAAAGGTAATAGACTTGATACTCGAGCACCGTAGTATACGAGAGAATTTTCATGCTAATATTTTGTGTTGAAGACGTTAAAAAGTTGATAAAAGTTGTGAATTCCATAAGACGTGTGATCAAAAGTGAAGTTTGACCAATTGAAAAGTTGAAATTTTTTTAGCAAAGTTTTATGAACACATACCAAATTTTAAATAAATAAATTTGTTTCTTCTATACCAGCTTAACTCTTAAATAATGTGATTCATCATATAATATTAAAGCACATAAAAGTCTTGAGTACAAGTCTACCATCACTTAAATTGTAGAAGACAAACACAATCTATGAAGAAACGGTTTGGAGAAGACAAGACGAAAATTGGTCTTTGAGAGAATTCCCTAATAGGTGTGGAAAGCTTTTAAATGAAAAAAATTCTTGTTTGGCGAAGCTTAAATTAAAAGAGTTAAGCTAGTCAAACACACTATTTAACCAAGAATTCTATGTCCCGACAACTTATTTTTCACTTTTTATGAACACGTTCTGTATTATCATTGTTTAAATTATAATTTAAACACTCGAAAAAAAGCATGAAGTTACAATTTTTTCATCTTGACCATTTATAAGGATACATCAAAGACACATTCCATGGGCTCTCCCTACTCATTACATTCAACTAGACAAGCCCACTCATTTATAAACAATTGTGCTTGTGTGAGACCCTATTAAAAAATGACTTCAATCTCCACACGAGCATGCGGTTTAAAAATTAAATTATTGTGAGCTGTAATAATAATTTTTGCTGCAGGATGAGCAACAAGACGGCAAAGATGGCTCTTTTATAGAAAGCTACGTGAAAGAGCATCGAGGATTGTCTATTGTACAAGCAAGAGAGCATGTTAATCGCCTGATATCAAGTGAATGGAAACGGCTTAACAAGGAGAGTTTTCGTCTAAATCAATTATCAGCGTCATCTATCACAAAGGCTTCTCTTAATATTGCAAGAATGGTTCCTCTCATGTATAGTTACAGTGATAATCAACGTCTCTTAATCCTCGGGGAACATGTCAAGTCTACACTATTTGATGAGATATACTTGGATTGCCATCTTTGGAATTAAAAACGTATTTGATTCTTGCACAAATATATTTTCTTGATTTACATTGGATGTAATTGTTGAATAATTGTTTCAAAAGTTTCACGAAACATAATATCGGATTGAGTACCAAATATATAGAATAAATACCATATTTGCAGTAAACTTAAACACCATATTTCCTCATATCATTTTACATACAAATTTGACAGTAACATATTTAATTATATATAACATATTAAATGAGAATTGCAAAATACTAATATGCAAAACGAACAACAAGAAGGAACAATTTTTTTTTTAACCCGAGGCCTGTGTTACACAGAGTTTCCTTAAAACAGATTCGTCCCCCACCGTACGTGCTTGAGGTGTAATTTGAGCGTCTACTTTCTAGGATACAACGGTGGAACAGTAAAATCTGAGCACCACAGATTTTACTCCGACAAACTGAGCTAGAGCCTGAACAATATCACCATCAAACTCAAACAGAAATGAAAACAGAGACAAAACTTGAATTGTGTGCGATGAATATTCAAATGAATTCGTGTACTGAAAACTGGAAAAAATCGAGATATATATAGATTTTGGATCTTATAACTTTCTCACTTATTTCATGGCAATTACAACATGAGNTTAACTCTCAAAGTCTCCATAACTCACTTGTAATAACTAAGGGAGTTTCGGACTTTTTATAGTTTCAAAAACCCAAAAGTCAGTTCAAGAAAGCAAAAAACAAATTCCAAAATGTAGGCCTGGCTGAGGGGCCAATTTTTGGTCAATCCGATCCGACATACGCAGGTCGCGCCAGCACACAAGTTCAAGGTCCGATGCCTATTTCAGTCCGTGATTTGCACCCTCTGCACGCGCACGTGGAGAGAGCTTCTATGCTACACATGATTACACCATTTTAAAGTGCAATCCTTTATAAAGTGATTTTAGTTTTCTTCCACTTCCTATGTGGGACAAACTTATTTTTAGTTTCTTACTAACATAAACTCTTTTCACATGACATACTTTGAGCTTCAATTTCTCATTCACCCGAGTGTCATTTTTGACAAGTATATGATTTCGATGTACTCACCGAGGAGAACACAAATCAACTTTCATCTTCTAAAATAGTCAAACGAGTCTCTCTCAAAATTCGTGCCAAAGTTACCTACAAACTCAATTTTCTCCAACAATCCAACACATACACATGAATGTGACACATGATGACTTGGTGATATAGTTCAATGGTTGAAACCTGCATAGGATAGGTATGTATTGCCCTTTGAACATTCCCTTGTGAAAGCATATTTACTTTACTGGCTGATCAGTAGACACAATGTCTTTTAACTATTCTGACGTTTATGTAAACGATGATATACTCCATACAAGATTCTTTCTAACACATTTCAATTCTCATTATTATGTTCGTTTTGGCCATGAACATACGCCTGGTTCTGTGAGAGTTCACAGGAATTTTGCCCTACACAATTCCCCTAGAAGCGGCCCCACTTCTCTTTCACATATGTGATTTCGTATTACAAGTAACCTGCATTACTTGGCTCGATTTTCGACGCATAAGAATTATTAGAAGTCTATTGTCTATCCTCCATCTTTACGGGCATCATGTCGCATCATAGGAATGGACATGAGGTAATATTCCATGCAATAATTCTATCAAGTATTTACAATTAGTTTGTCCCTTTGAACCTAGATCTTGGGATCTCCAATCAATTAGGTTGGGTTTTTCTTTATATTAACTTATCAATTCAAGGGCTTAGGTTCCATTTCTCTCGATGATTTTTTAACTAACTCTTTATTTAACCCTTTGGTTAGCGGATTCGCAGTGTTATCCTTTGACTTCACATAGTCAATAGTGATAACTCCAATCGAGAGTAGTTGCCTTATGGTATTGTGTCTACGACGTATAAGTCTAGACTTACCATGTACATGTTACTCCGTGCCCTTCCAAT